GTAAATTCAAATGTAGTATCTACTCAGACACGATTTCGAACGCACCTGGTGCATTACTTATGAATGAGAAAAATTGCAACGCGGAATATGGCGGGAAAAGTCCCGCCCTCTGATTTGTCACCCGCCTTCTCAAATAAAGAGCCAATCGCTAATCGGTAAAGTCATCGCGTCACTGCAGCTGCCGTTAAAAACTCCGATTGCTATAGAAACAGTGGTGTTCTGAGACTCGCGTTTAGGCTGGTTTAGCCTGAAACATAAACTTTTTTTAATATTTGAGCATAAGAAATGACATTTATGAGACGGTTGTTGTCAGATGTCATTAGCGATTTCAAATTTAATTGTAAGTTTAGTGAACAGAATTTGATGTTTCCCCATTCAAAAGATATCGGAGCTGTACTGCATGACTGAGAGGCGTCTCTAAAAGATGGCCGCCGAGTGAAATCACTTGACAGTAAATGGCAGTGAAGCGACACAACTGACACAGGTAGGTCACATTACAGTGACAACGTGATAAATGTAGTATGTTTGGATTACATTCATACTATATAAAACAGGGATGGGCAACTTCGGTCCTGGAGGGCCACTGTTCTGCAGAGTTTAGCTCCAACCCTAATCAAACACACCTGCCTGTAGCTTTCTAGTGATCTCGAAAACATTGATTACCTTGTTCAGGTATGTTTGAGCTAAACTCTGCAGGACAGTGGCCTTCCAGGACAGAAGTTGCCCATCCCTCAAATAAAATAAAATAGAAATATTAGATGGATAAAAAAGTTTCCTTAGGAACTAACTTTTTAACTAATAAACTAAATTCAAATTAAAGTACTAAAGTATAAAATATAAAAATATAAAATATAAATATATAATAAATATAAATTTAAAGCTAAATAGAATTATTAAGAAATAATATTAATTTTAAATATGTTTTAATATTTAAAACTTAATAAAACTTATTTTAAATTAATTAAATAAAATGCTATGATATATATATCATCAATTATATTATATATAATCAAAAATAATATTCACTGCTGTCCAAAAGTTTGGAGTTGGTAGGACCTTTTTGTTATGAAATAAGTCTCTTCTGCTCTCCAAGGCTGCATTTTTTTTAAATACAGTACAAACATTTATATTGTAAAATATTATTACAGTTTAAAATAACTATTTTAATTTGATTATTTTAAAATGTAATTTATGCAAAGCTAACATTCTGAGACATGAACTGAAATGAATTGTGAATTTTATTAACATTAAATCGTCCTCCTTCCATTTTCACCTCATAATTATGGGGAAGCTGTGCATCCTCTGCCTCCCCCGATGAGCTGCCACTGGTTCTGTCTTGGCAAGGTTGAGTTGAAGGTGATGGTCCTTCATCCAGCAAGAAATGTCTGTTAGACATGCTGAGATGCAAGCAGCCATCGTCGGATCATCAGGATGAAATGAGAGGTAGAGTTGAGTGTCATCAGCATAGCAGTGATATGAAAAGCCATGTGTCTGAATGACAGAACCTAGTGATGCCATGTAGACAGAGAAGAGAAGTGGTCCAAGAACTGAGCCCTGAGACACCCCAGTAGTTAGATGTTGTGACTTGGACACCTCGCCTCTCCAAGATGTCTTGAAGGACCTATTTGCGTGATAAGACTCAAACCACTGGAGTGTGGTTCCTGAGATTCCCTTTGCCAATAGGGTTGGCAGGAGGATCTGGTGGTTAACCGTGTCAAAAGCAGCGGACAGATCCAGCAAGATAAGTATTGAAGTTTTGGAATCCGCTCTTGCCAGTCTTAGGGCTTCAACAACTAAGAGCAAGGCAGTCTCAGTCGAATGTCCACTTCACCAGACTGGTTGCTGTCGAGGAGGTTGTTCTATGTAAGAAAGGCAGAGACTTGGTTGAACACAGCTCGTTCAAGTGTTTTTGCAGTGAAAGGAAGAAGGGAAACTGGTCTGTAGTTCTCTAAAAGAGATGGGTTAAGGGTGGGTTTCTTAAGTAGTGGGGTTATACGAGTCTGTCTAATTGCTGAGGGAAAAACACCAGTGTGAAGGGATGTGTTGATGTATAAAAACAGGTACAACTGCAGGAGAAATGGCTTGAAGGAGATGAGGTGGAATAGGATCAAGCGGACAAGTAGTAGGATGATATATATCATATATCTTATTTACGGGATTCTTTGTTGAATAGAAAGTTCAAAATAACAGCATTTCTTTTCAATAGAAATGTTTTATTATATTATAAAAGTCTTTATTGCCACTTTTGATAAATTGTGTGTCCTTTCTGAATAAAAGTAGTAGTTAATCAAAAAACAAACAAACTTATAAACACCAAAATTTAGCACCATAGTCATAATTATTATTCTAATATTATAATTAAAAACAGAAAATATGCAAATTGGGACACAGCTTTTACTTACCTCACTATTGCAACAAATAGCTTAATAGAGCAGGTTTCTTCTTTGTCAACCACTTAAACCAGTTTGGACCAGCATGAACCAGCTAGAAACTAGCTACCATGTTCCAAAACACACCTTAAGTGGGTGCATTTAATTTAGCTTGATGCTTTGACAATTGATAAAAACAGTCCCATTTTCCAGCTCCTGATATAATGAGGACGCAGACTCGATCAATGCATTTATACCTGTTATTTACAGTATATTTGAATAATATACAACATTACGGTCCAGTTCACAACAGACATATACAGTGTTTTCCTGTAGGCCGTGTACTGTATACACATGCATATGACAGCAGACAGGGACATGAATAACAGTCTGCCCTCAGTGTTTTGCATTTGCACAAAGTGTCTGTTTACAGCAACACACAGTAGAAAACACATTCATCTATGACTCCAGCTAGTGCAGACGGTCGGAGCGCGACTCGTCATTAACGTCATGAATGAGAGAAAATCAAAGAGAAAGTCATGAAGCAGGAAGCATTTGACAGGTTCCCTCAAATTGGACGTCGGTCTGAATGAGATGACAAGACATTGGGTTTTTAGAATTTGGAGCGGTGATGTCATGATCATGTGCACACTTGTTTGTTTGTTTGTGTGCATCAGGCCTCAGGTGCAACAGAGAGGAGGTCTCACATGGTTTCTGTCCTGATTTGAACAAGCAACACCCCTAAAACTGCTTCATGTGATCACAGATAATTACATAAAGCCCTCTGTATGAACCAAAACAATCGATCAGTTTCACCCATTTATCAGTCCCAGATTTGATTTCAATGCACCAAAACCAGCATGAAACAGCACAAAATGCTGCATAAAATGAGCAAGAATATAGAAAAGATACTCTTTAATACCTTATAAAGATTGCCACCTACTTACAGTTGTAATATTAGATCTTCTAGTCACAAAATTTACAATCAGTTTAATGCAATACTGAGGCCTGTGTGAGCAATAATGAATTGAACGCTGAACTGGGACCAGAATTGGGTCTTTCTACAATAGCGGTGATGTTTCCATTAGAATTATAACTTTTCTTTTTCAAACTCAAGAAATAAATCCAATAGTACAATAGCAAATTGTTAAAATATGAAATAAATTGTAATTATACTGTATATATAATTTGAATTTTTCATATATTTGAACAATTTATATATATATATATATATAATTCTAGCATAAAATATATAAATTAATTAAATATATATTATAAAAATAAAATATATATTATAAATATTATATATTTATTTATGATATATATAATTTTATACTAGAATTATACTATTTAAACATATTTTGTTTTATATAGGAAAAATTGCAGCAATTGTAGAATGACCCATTTATTTAAAAATAAATATTTGAAAATGTATTTAGCGAAAACCAGCAGTTAAAAAAATGGCATGCAGGGAAATCATGGCACGCTCGGGTTGAGGGTTTGATACCTGTCAAATGCTTCAAGCACTGTGTGATGTGTTGTAGGTTGGTGTGGGTCTGATATGGCTCTAAAAGGCCAGTGTGCGGCCCGTCAATGTCTATGGTGCAGCACACAAGACGTTTAATGGGAGAACACAGGCACCTCTCATGAAATACAGCAACATTTGGACAGAAAAGACGTTTAACAGATGTTTGGGCCCATGCACGTCCCTCTCTAAGTGCGTTTTGACACTTCCTGCGCTATTTGGCAGCATGTTGGTGTTTTGCCAAAATGTAAATGTGTAGGGGGAAAACAACAACAAAAACACCAATGCAACTGATAAAATGACAACAAACGGAAGAACACTGACTAGACAAGACATGAGCACTGCATCTGTTATACTGTAAATCACTCCTGCAGATCATATGTGCTGTAAAAAAAAATGTTGCAATGTTATTGGCCTCCTTTAGACAGCTGACAATGAATGATATTCCCTGAGAATTTAGTCATCTAGACAAATGCATCACTTCATCATTAACATACATTCAATGCAGCGTCACTATCCTGTTCCTGTAAGCACTCACAACATTAATGAGTTCACATATGACCCAATCTGATCTTTACTGCAAACTAAAATGGTGTCTTATATTTCTATAAACGTGACTCAATCATTTTTGCACATTCACCATTACATGGGCTGGGCCACTTTTATAGTGTGTATCCACTGGATGGCACTGTGACTATGGCTATGTTTGGAACAGCATACTGCGGTATGTAACACAAAGAAACGCAGATGTCCTATTACATTTTTTGTACAACTTTTTTGACTTATTTTATAAGACTGTTCAAATTTAGAGGGATAGTTCACCCAAAAATGAAAATTTGATATGTTATTATGGACTCGTATTTTGGCCAGAAGTGACGGTTTACAGTTAAAATGTCCTTAATGATGGATTTGTTTCTTACAAACACGCAGCTTTTGGCTTCACAAGACATTAACTGATGGACTGGAGTGGTGTGGATTACTTGTGAATTATTGTGATGTTTTTATCAGCTGTTTGGACTCTCATTCTGACGGCACCCATTCACTGCAGAGCATCCATTGGTGAGACAGTGATGTAATGCTACATTTCTCCAAATCTGTTTTGATGAAGACATCTTGGATGACCTGAGGGTGAGTAAACTGTCAGTAAAGTAATTTTTTCTGTATTATTTGAAAACAGTATAAAGTGTGCATTATATACTACACTAGATGCAGTACACTAGTATTCTATTCCAAACATAGCTAACTTTCTCAGATACTGATACTGCAATCGGCATTTCATATAAAATCTTGTTGTTATAAATCAACCACTTAATTTACTCTGTGTTCAAATCAAGTGACAATCACACATTCACACTGATACACACCAACAACCCACAACAAAAGCCATTCTGTTAACGTTACATCCTGTTGAATCTGTCTTAAAGTCCCTCATCCGTGTACTTGAACAGTCCATGTGCCCTCAGATCGGGACAGAGAACAAAGTGTCCTGAGAACTGATCAACAGTCTCTTTTGAAGAAGGCCAGGCCACTTGTGCTCCATTAAATCCCTGAGTTAAAAAATGAAATCACTCCCCCAAACATTAAAACACAGAAACCAGTGTGTGTCCTCCTCTCTGTGGCACCCGTCAGTAGCGGGGATTCTGGGAGCCGTAGTTTCTGGGATACAAAGGGCTATAAGTGGACGAAGGGGGTGTGTAGCGGGATGTAGAATACTGGAAGTGGCTGGGAAGGGGGCGGGATTGGGATGAGTTCCACATGGAGCGGCGATTGGCCAATAGGGGTGAGCGGTAGGGCAAGGAAGGGGTGGAGCCTGGGGAATAGTGCGACTCACTTGCATAGCGACGGGCCAGGATGGAGCTATGAGTAGGTAGGTTGGTGTAAGTGTGTGGTTCGACGACATATGCACGAACGCCCATCGTCCAATGGCGGTACGGCATGGTTGGGGGCATCAAGGAGGACGAGGAAGACGATGCGGGAGATGACGGGGCCTCCAGGGAGGGTGGGCTATTGGGGGCGGACAGGTGGGTGGGTGTAAAGGTGGGTGTGGTGGGCGAGGTGATGGCGGCTGCTGCCGTAAGGACCTCGGTAATTGTCAAAGGGGTGTCAGGAAGGGGCGGGACTGGTGTTCCACTTACTTTGGGCGTGCTGCTCCTCAGCCGGGACATTTTTCCCACACGGGTCCGGTGCGACTGCTCTTGGTCGAACTCCAGGTCTTCCAGTTTCTGCGTGAGGGCAAGTTTTTGCTGGATGGCCATGCGGAGGAGAGAGTTCAGCGTCTTTTTCTCGTCCTCCGCCGCCACGAGTTGTCTTTGCATCTCGTCCAGCTGAGACACATACTCGTCACACCTAAACAGAAAGAAAGGAGAAACTAGTATTTGGGCTGCATGATTAATTGAAACAAAACCGATAAGGCTGGTGGGTGTAAAGGTGGGTGTGGTGGGCGAGGTGATGGCGGCTGCTGCCGTAAGGACCTCGGTAATTGTCAAAGGGGTGTCAGGAAGGGGCGGGACTGGTGTTCCACTTACTTTGGGCGTGCTGCTCCTCAGCCGGGACATTTTTCCCACACGGGTCCGGTGCGACTGCTCTTGGTCGAACTCCAGGTCTTCCAGTTTCTGCGTGAGGGCAAGTTTTTGCTGGATGGCCATGCGGAGGAGAGAGTTCAGCGTCTTTTTCTCGTCCTCCGCCGCCACGAGTTGTCTTTGCATCTCGTCCAGCTGAGACACATACTCGTCACACCTAAACAGAAAGAAAGGAGAAACTAGTATTTGGGCTGCATGATTAATTGAAACAAAACCGATAAGGCTGTGTTTTATTTAAATAAATTATCATAATCGTGTTTTCAGTGTCTCAGTTGACAGAAAATGTGGATATAACACACATTTGAGGAAGCAACATGAGCCAACCATCTTTCCAAAGTTGTAATTAGAAGCACTTATAAACTGCCTGTTGTCAACAGAAGAGAAGCTTTACAGGGCTTCCTGTGGTTTTCAGCCAAAATAAAAACTTGATGGTTCAACTTAAAATAATAATAATTATTTTTATTAAATATTGTTTTTTATTTTACAGTGAAATATTGCAGTGTTACAATTTTAAATTTTTAGAATTTAATAATAATAATAGATTTGTTTAATATTTTTTATTTAGTGTAGTAGTAAAAATTATTATTATTATATAGTCATATTGATATACAGTATAACAAAATAAATAAATAAAAATAGAAAAATCAATTCGATTTTTACATGCGGTTTTCAGTCAAAAGCATCAAAAGCTGTATGAACAGTTGAACTGTAAAATACATTTATTTTTTCTTAAGTACTTGTTTTTTATTTTACAGTGAAATATTTCAACAGGAATATTTCTTATTTTGTTTCATTTTTTATTTACTGCTACTACTACTACTACCACTACTAATTATTATTATTATTTTACAGGGATATATTACAATAGCATTTTTTCTTATGTTGTTTTATATTTTTATGTAGTAGTAATAATAATTATAATTATTCAGAGATATTGATATATATAACCCAAAAAAAATCTAAATAATAAAAAAATCTGAAAAATCGCAATTAGCTTTTTCCCCATCATGCATCCCCTAATTAGTATGGCAAACATCCTCTCAGATGTGCTGTGGACGCTCTGGTTGACTCATTATTCAGTCATCTGTCCAACTGATTTTGCTCTCAACTGCAAAATACCAAATCTCATGCTTCGACTGCAGTCTCTAAGCTTATATATGATGCTGTCAGCATCCTGCACCAGTGAACGTTGTAAAGCAAAGTTTGAGAAGTAACTAACCTAAATAGAATTTCAGCAGCATGACAACTGGAAAATAGTATAGTTTTTCCAGTATTAAGCTACGTTTTCCAATGAGTAGCTTTGTAGTGCAACAAAATGCTATTTTTGCACTTTGTATTGTACACTCTATCCTAAAATGTGCTTCTATATACAGTAAATAATGATTTGTTTTGGAGAATTGGTTCATGTAAATGGTTCATTGAAATGAACTGCAAACAAATTAATTTTGAGTATAGTGTTACAGTGCGTATTTCTCACCGTGTGGCAAACATGGCTCTGAGGGAAGAGAAGGTGGCCGCATCCTCTTTCAAGGCCTTTAGCTCATTCCTCAGCTTCATCATGGTCTCCGTCACCATTGTCTTCTCGTTCTCGTACTTACTCTTCAGGTTGGCCAGAGCCCCCTCAGCCGTCTGTGAGCATTACAACCAACAATATGTCCAATAAACAACTAGTTCTGCCAACAGTAAGTTAATTAAGCACTATTGATTTAATATAGACCACATTATGACCAATTAAGGTGTTTTCTGAAAAGAGTGCAATTACATTTTTCTAACTCAGAAAATACAGTTAAGATGGTTACACATGGATTATAATAGCAGCCCTGCTCAATATGTTCGTTTTGATATATGGGATATATTTACCAAATAATTGCTCTGGTTTAAAGGCCCACTTTAAGAATATCCTCTTGAATTCATAATCTAACTTCATTCAGTGAATTGTTCATTCAACTGAAAGCTTGTTGTTGCAGTAACTAAGAACTCCTCTTGTGTCTGTTTGCACATAATAATGGATGTAGTAATTACTTTGCGGCCCATAGAGCGCAGCACTTTCTCTCTGGTGTGGGATCTATAAATCGTAATGTCCATTAATCATCTCTGGGCTGGAAGGGTCATACAACATGCTTTATATCACACAGTGGCCAAGAAGTATGTGTCGGATAGAACAGTCCCTTTTCATCAATGTTTCATTTTACAGGCTATAGATCAAACACCTCCGTCGAGGTGCACCACTCCTCCTGAAACACCATGTGTACAAGTTACTGGAGATTTTGAGAAAGAACTAACTGTTAGATTTGCCAATGTTTGCCAGATTTGCAAGATGAGGTGGTTGAGCATGATTCGTTTGTGGGTGCTTTTAGGGATGACTGAGACCATTTGGGGAGTTCATATCTTATATCAGCCCAAAATTTAGAGGTGTTGGGGGGGGGGGCATCCTTAAAAACAAATTGTGGTTGGTCATTTAACAGTCTAATCAGACGGTCTATTCTTGTATAAGAGGACATTTCTTGGATAGAATCATTTGCAAAGTGGACTAGACTTGAACTTATAGTTAAAAATCTTTATATGCAAGACTACTGTAAGCTAAAGTTTGCAACTCATGTGAAAACGCAATGTAGAAGCTACAGAGCAACGTTAATGAGATGTCAGAATAAGTTAGCTGGAATAAGTTGCAAAGTGGACCAAACTTAATACAGATAGTTAAAAATCTTGGTTTGCAAGACTACTGTAAGCAAAATATAACAACTCGTACGGAAATGTAAGTTTTACCAAGAAATGCAGAAGCTACAGAGCAATGTTAATGAGATGTCAGAATAAGTCATAAAGTGGACCAGACCTAATGCCGATGGTTAAAATCTTGAAATTAAAACTAAACGAAACTGCAAATCAATGTTAATGAGACATCGGAATAAGTTGACTGGAATTAGTTGCAAAGTAGACTAAACTTTGTCGATAGTTAAAAATCTTGGTATGCAAGACTACTGTAGGTGAAAATAGCAATTAATGTGGAAGCATAACAGATTTGCCAAGAAATGAGATGTGAGAATACGTTACAAAGTGGACCAGACTTAATGCTGATGGTTAATAATCTTGGTACTAAGGACTACCGTAGGTGAAAGATAGCGACCTATACAGAAACTTAACAGTTCTACCAAGAAATGTAAAAGCTACAGAGCAACATTAATGAGTGGTCTGAATAGGATGGCTGGAATAAGTTGCAAAGTGGACTAGACTTTATGTAGATAGTTTAAAATCTTGGTACGTAAGACTGTGGTAGGCTAAAGATGGCAACTCATGTGGAAACGTAACAGTTTTGCCAAGAAATGAGACCTCAGAATAAGATGCAAAGTGGACCAGGCTTAATGCCGATGGTTAATAATCTTGGTACTCAGGACTACTGTAGGCAAAAGATAGCAACCCATGCAGAAACACAATATTTTTTACTAAGAAACGTAGAAGCTACAGAGTAACTTTAATGAGAAGTCAGGGTCTCAGTCAATGTAAAGTCTACCATGGTTCAATACTCTCAGGCCTCATTGCAATCAATAGGATGCAGGGTAATAAATAGAGCTGATTAGCCTACCTGCTTGTTGGCTTTGAGCACAAAGCGCAAGGTTGCAATCTGCTCCCTCTTTGTGCTCAGGAGGGACTTGAGCTTGAGAATCTCCTCCATGCAGGCCTCCTTGTCCTTGTCCATCAGTGGGGCGAGTTCACTGGCGGCCGCTCTCTGGCGGGACAGCTGGAGTGAGTGGTCCACTGCCTTCTGCAAGTGCTTGATCTGGTCACGGATGATGGCGTTGAGGTGGTGGATGTTGGTGGGTTCACGGCGGAGGTCGGAACCCGTGGCCGACTCGGGTGCTGGAGATGATGATGAAGACGAGGAAGAGGCACTAACGACGGGTGAACCCAGTGGTGTACGGACTGGGCTCTGCTCAGCAGTGAGAGGTTCTTTGGATGGTGAGTTCGACGGGCTACGAGACTCGGTGGACGTTGCGGCGTTAATCGCCGCTAAACGGCGTGCGAGCCGTGGGGTCAACAGCACGCGGTAGTCGTCCTGCCCCTTGTGGCCAGTGGTGGAAATGCGCGTCGGGGTCCGGCCCTGCCGGTAATAGTCCAGCGTAACACGGTTGGGTGTCTCATTGTTGCACAGGCAGACGTGGTGGTAAAGTTGCGCTAATTCCTCGCTGAATGTCGCCAGCTCTTCTTGGGCGGTTCCCAGGATTCCCTGTGTCTCCAAGCCTGTGTTATTGGCTGCCCGCAGCTCGCGTTCCAGATTCACCGCCTTGTCCCGGCTTTCCCTGCAGCTGCGCTCCAGCTGTGCTACTTGTGTCTCCAGCGCTCGCAGCTGCACCTTGCCCTGCTCCTCCACCCAAGCTCTTGCCTCCACATACTCATTATATCTATCCTTCACCTCCTTAAGCTCCGCCTTCAGCCCTACCACCTCCGTCACAGCCACCCTGTATTTACATTGCAGCAATTCCAGACTCGGCCCCTCCTGGCCACCAGGGACGCATGTTGCCTCCTCTTCTTCGTCCTCCTCTTTCCCCTTGTTTTCCTTACTGCTGTGCTGGCGGCGGAGTTTCCGGAATCGCTCGCCCAAGCGATTGGCCTTCTCGTGCTGCTCCGTCAGCGCCCCCTGTGTGTGACGGAGCAAAGCCTGTGATTCCTGCAAGCTGTTGAGCAAAGATGCTTTTTCACGTTCCACCTGCAGCACATAAACAAGCCATCTAATGAGTTTACATGCAAGTCGGGCTGGTGTATGCAGGTTAGTCCTGATGCTGGTGTAGATGATAAACCATCATAACCATACAAAACATCAGTGAAATCTAGCTGGTGAGACTGGTCAACCAGCAAAGTCTTGCTTATTTAACCAACAGATATCACCATACTGTCCTCAAGTGATTAATCACAGTAGATTAAGATAATTGTTTTGTAGTACAAGTTTTCTGAAAGGTTATGTTTAAATGAAGCCATTGGATGAAGCCAGGTTCAAAACGCTTGTTTCACTTTGTTGACATATTACCGTTAGTTTATACAGAGGATTTCTCTTTTTATCACTCTCTCCATATATATACTGTATATATATATTGCATTTATATACATTTCTGGCTCAGTGAATGAAAAAAACTCAATCATCTCACAGAAAATGGCCTTTAAAGATATGCATTGTAATTGAAATCTACAACTGCAAATAGATAAATAAAATATGTAATAAAACAAACACTTAAATGTGTATTTTGAATATTTTCTTGCACTAGTCGGAAATAAGACAATGTAGCCGAATGGTTTTGCCTGTAGTGTCTTGGCTTAAACTAATGCATGCAAAGGAGCATTTTATTGCTCGGGAGACTTAATGTAGATATGCTTATTTTAATCAACCCTGTCTCATATGTTTCTCCTAGAATTAATTTAAAAGCAGGTCACACATGAACGGCAATTTCATTGTTTAACATGGATGCAAAGTTCATATGTACATGACTCAAATGAACTTGCACTAGGAACAGTGATCTCTTGTGAGAGGAAGGATATAAATAAGCCAGTAGCATGGCCCATTAGTGTGTATGGTGGTCTCATATTTCATCCCACGACACTGCAGCATCCAGTTGTAAACAGAACAACGCCTAAACCAATGCAGCAGTCGTTTCTCACTATGTAGGATCTTGAGCTTGAAAGATAAGTTTAAAAAGCTTAAAAATATGGGAATTAAGAGAAAAAACAACCCAAAGATATATAAAAGAAATATTAAAGGGGTAAATTTATTATACCCTCGGGGCCGGCAACATAAAGCTTTGCTGTATAAAAATGAATGCAAGCTGATAGAAATGTTTATATATTCATTATATGGGTGTAGCTAACATAAGCTCTGCCCCTTCATACTCACCTGCTGAAGCTGTTGTCTTAGTTTCAAGATTTCAGGGCCACTGAGCTCACTAAAGAGGTCAGGGGTCAAAATTTCAGTCTTTCTCAAACCCAATGGCCTGAAGTCTCCGTTCAGTCGGCTCAAAACTGAACCCGTCGCACCCTGAAGCAGATGCCCATTGCACTTGCCACCGTCCTCGCTGCTGGGCGATGTAGCGGCTGTTGGGGTGGCACTGCCACTAGGTGGCGCTGAGGTCAGGGCGATCAGATGGGCACAGCCTGCGCTGAAACCCCCATCACACACAGTTAGATGATGTGCTAATTCCTTGCGCAAAGTGTTCTTCTGTTCTCGCTCGCTTTTCAGAGAATCCAAAGCCTCTTCCAATTGGCTCTCGGAGATGTCCTTCAGGCACAGTGCATCTTCTAATTGGCTGTTAAGCAAGGCTGTTTCCTCCTCCAGAACTTTGATTTCATGCTTCAAGCCTTCATACTCCACCTGAAAGAATAGAGAATAACCATTTGTTTTGATTCTGGAAATATCTGAGACTGTTTCTAAGAAACCTGCCACAAACAAATATATGATGCTTAAATGTCTTGGTTTTACGCCTAGTTTTGAGAATCTATTTGAACATTTAAAGTAATATAATTGAGTGTATTTATGCCATCTGTGACTTAATGGTCTGAAGTTATTTAAATATCAATTAAAAAATATGTTTAATATAAAATAAAAATATACATACAGTATTTATAAGGTTTATAAATATGTATAAATATAAATTAAATGTATAGTAATTAATTGGTCAGAAGATATTTGAATATCAATTTAAATATAAATATAATTTAAAATATAAATATAAAGACTTACAAGTTCAGAAATGTATATCAAAATAAATAAAATGTATAGTAGTCAATTGGTCAGAAGCTATTTAAATATGCATTTAAAAATAAGCATAATATAATTTCACAAAAATATATAAAGATAATTATAAGTTCATAAGTGTATATAATAATAAATATGTGCATATCAATTTAAATATGCATATAATATAAAAATATATAATTACTTATATTTATAAGTTAATAAATTAATTAAAAAATGAATACAATTTAAAGTAATCAATCAATTCACACGTGATGTTTATAACTTTAATAATAATACTTTATAATTTAATAATATAAAAAATAATATAATTTCAGATGGATGGCGAAAATTAAGTTGGGGAAACACAACAAAAATAGTAAAATTTTGTCTGTCAACTGAATGCATGTTCCGTATAATGGAAGTGATCTAGTTTTGTATCAGCTAGTTTTCTGTTGTTGTTTTGAAAAATGTATTTGATGACGACATTATTAACTTGTGTTATTATTTCTTTTGGTCCGAAACCAGAAAGGCCAGTGCAATGACATTTTTCTGGCCCAGAACCTCCTTTTCTTTAGTGGAAATGTGCGGAATGATTCTGGATTGCTCACCAGAACCGTGTCAGTGTAAAGGAGGTAATTGTGGATGTGTTTACCTGGTTCTGCTTGAGCGTGGACACCAGTTTCTGCAGTGAGATGTTCTCCTCTTCCAATTCGGTGTAGTCTTGCAGTAATCTGGCCTCTCTGAATTTATACTCCCTGATTTCCTCTCTCATCCGGCTTCTCTGCAACTCCAACATCTCATTACTCTGAGAGACACAGAGGGGAAACAGAGAAAGAAGGACAGACCTATCAAAACCTGTCATGAGGATACATTTATGATGTCAAACCTAGAATCGATTTATGCAGAGAGTTTCTGACCTCTCTCAGCTCCAGTAGGATGGTGCTGAGTCTCTCGTTCTCGGCCTGCGTGCAGGAGGCCTGCGATCTGCTGCTCTTCAGCTTGGCCTGCTGCTCCAACAGGCGGCCCATGTAGTACGCTTCCTTAGTGGCCGACTCCTGTAGCAGCGTCTCCTCGTTGTTCTCCCCATCTTCAGCCACCTTCCTTTGGGTGGTGTACGCCTGGCTGAAGGCCTGAGGAAGAGAGAGAAGAAGAAATGCTAAATGACATGCATGCATAAAATGCATGCAAGAAACACTTCAGCTGCACCACGATTTTTACTTTAAATGTAGTATATAGTATGTGAGATCAGAATTGGCGCATCCCAAATTACAGTACATTTTAAAAAGTATGCAAAGAATATCAATACTAAGGTGTTTTTTTTTACCTGTGATTTTGTTCCTTTAACAAGACATTTAATGCATACAATATGCACTGAATTGGACGAATAACTATTTTCCTGCTCATCTGAACAGACGGAAATGCTGAAGACAGAGCTAATCAATCACAGAGAGCGTTCGCTCACTGCTGACACTGCATTCAAACAGGGCTGCATTTCCCAAAAGTATCATAAGAAACCATTGATGCTTTTGGGAAACGCAGCACAGAACAATTCTTATCAGACGACAGAAAAACAAAACATTTTCACAACAAACAAGTTGAAACTGTAGCCTATAGTTTGTTCAATTACATTTAATTAATGTTTATTTGATTTCAAGTAACAAAAATGTTTTCTAATGTTTTAATAAATAATAATAATTGTACATAATGATTTTATGGTTTTCATTTTAGCTTTAGTTTAAATAACTATAATAACCCTGGTGTTTTGTTGATGTCTGTGTGTTTTTCTATCTAATATTAAAATTGCATTAGTTCAAAAGCAAAGCGGTAAACTGCAGGAGACACTGATTTGGTGACCTCACAATACGAGGTGAAGTTCAGGCAATATTGTTCATAATCTGGAAGGTGTGAGAGGAATAGATGACAACAGTGATCTCGCATAAGACACTGAGAAAATCAATGCAGCGCTCAGCCGAGCGATAGTGTGAAAAATCAATTAGGAGGTGTAGAGGAGCTCAACGCTTCAGGTATGAGGAATGACAGAAGAAATAACAGACTTATGGACAGTGCTGATAACAGCGTTCAATAGCATGATAGGAGGCAGAATGGCCGTAGCATTTGCTGAATGTCCAGTTTACTGTGTGAGAGAGCGTCACAGTCGCTCACTGTAATGGAGAGAGAGCCGAATGAGGCTTATTGTGTGCTCAGAGGGAAGTATGTTCTCCCTGCATGGATGGAGAGCGATGGAGTCTTTTAAACAGACGCCACTGGGGTTTTCCATTAGTTGGACATTTAATCAAACTCTCCCTGGTCAGTCAGTCCTGCTGTGCTGGGAAACTCTATGCTTTTTACACTCGGATGAGATCAGAGTTGTGGTTGAACTCTTGAAGTAGTTAGTGGGCTTTGTTAAATCAAGCATCACTATTACTGTTGCTCAAACCATTTTAACCAACATCTAACTCTAGGTATTACTAACTTTGAGACCAAATTTTCCCTTGAGAGGGTCTATGAAAACCATGCAAATCTCTTATTATTGGACAACATAGTGTGACGATAATTCCAGGATGTGGCGAAGGTTGTAAAGTTAAGCTAGTTATTTAAGAAAATAAAGGTCAAAACTAGCTTAATAATAAAAATAATGACAATATTATACGGTTTTATCAAGAAAATCTGCAACAATTTACAAGGTCTCATTAGTTAATGTATTAGCTGAAATAACATGAACTAACAAGCAATATATTTTATTATATCATTATATAATTAATGTATTCATTTTTGTTAACGTTTAATAATAACAATAAAAATACTTTAAAATACTTTCATTAAAAATAGAATTGTTCATGTTAGTTCATAGTGCATTAATTAATGTTAACAGATTAGTTATTATCATTAGCTAAAACTAAAACTTTTAATTAAAAAAAAAAATTTAACTGACATAAAATAAAAAATACATTAAAATAAAATAAAAGAGAATAATACATTTAAATTAAATTAAATCAATTAAAATAAAAAAACTAAACTTGATAAAACTATAACTTAAAAAAACTAATAAAAATGACAAAAGCACACAAGGACTTTTACACACA